TCTGCAAGAGAGTGCGAGAAAACATTAGATGTATGTGTTGATTTGGGAAGGCAACACGTCGGTTGTACTGATTTAGTTATCCACCATGTACATCATCAGTAAAGGATCGCATAGAAAGGAAATGCTCAAGTCGTCTGGGCACGTAAGAGATTTCGCAGCCGACTGCCCTTTCGCTCCGTTCCTCTTCTTCCGTCTCTTCGGGACGAGGTCGACGCCAAGATAAGCCGTGAGTGAGAGTGTGAGCAAGCAGCTAAAAATCAGGCAAAAGCAAATGAGGCTGCTGCTGCGCAGATTTATTATAAAAGACCAATCCTGGATCAAGCGTCGTCCTGATAAATCAGATTCCGATACTATTCGAGTTTCGGCTTTCAGTCAGGTCCAGGTCCTCTTTTTTTTTACTAAGGTTTCTTCTCTACATCAGACGCTTTCCAAGCGTTCGCATTTGACGATTAGATGTCAATTATGTGCACACAAAGTCAACGTCCATCTTGCGGTACGGTATGGGTTAAACTTCCTTTACGAAATGAGTGTTACATACTTCGCCCCATCCTTCATTCTTGTAAGCCTGTGATGTACTAACCTATAATGCTTTTTTGGCAACTTTTTCAATTTCTTTTGCCCTCAAACTTCAGATCCAGCGGCTTCTACCAATATAGAAGATGTTTTATCAGGAGCAGTTCCAGTTTGGCGTCGGAACTTCCGTTTCTTTGAAACCCAGCCACTGGCACTTCCTCCTTTAACTCATGTGGAGCATAAGCTCTCGGCCCCGGAACCAGTTTCTCTGGAACGCAGGCAGTGGTCATGGAGAAGAGCAGCCCACCTCGAGAAACGGTCACGAACTCCTCAATAGCCCTATGCCCACCTATTCTGTACCTCCATCCGTGTCAGTTCCTTAAAGTTTCCAGAGAGCTTTTAAAAAAATTTAAAAACGACGCAGAAATATTCCCACAACCTAATAAATAAGACGATGAATGATCAATGTCATGCAGTCGAAAGCTATCAACTCACGTGGATATGGCTGGGGTGGTGGAGGTGGTGGAGGTGGAGGAGGCAGTGATGGATACGTGGGACCTGGTGCGTATGGCATCATATATCCTCTTGGCATGTACGGAGCTGGTCGGTAGTACTGAGGCTGAACCCCTCCACATCCTCCTATAAATCACTTGAACCTTAAAGTTTTCACGAATTGTTCGATATCACACCGTTTCTTAAAGAATTCCAACCAGCAATGTTCAGCAAGAATTCTCACAACTAGCAAGATCTTCCTTAGTGAAGAATCGAATATTTCAGACTTTTTTTTACATGTTACATGTGGTCACCCCTCCTGCATAGGTCACCTGTTTGTAGCACTTGTAGCGGTCTGTATGAAACTGGACGCGGTTGGTAAGGTTGATAAGGTTGCGGTTGGAACGGTTGTGGTTGATAGGAATGAGGTTGGTAGGGTAGAGGTTGAGGTTGAGGTTGAGTTTGGTAGGTTTCCTCTCGTATGTACGTCTTCGACGGATTAATGACGGCAGTCTGAAAATCCTCTTTATAGCAGATCGTGATGAAATTAGCATGCTAATGATTTCACCTCATGTGTCGGGGTTGATTCCTCTACGACAGTTTCTTTCAGCTCAGGGAGCTTCTTGTCATACTCCTCGTACTCCTTAATCTGCGAAGAACTTAACAATGCTCTTCAAAAAATGAATTGAGGCTTAAAATATCTGACTAACTTGAGGTTTCTCTCTTGAGGCGGGAGCTGTTGCCGGCTCCTTATCGACGCTGCTCAGCGTATCCAATGGAGATTGAGCATACGAGTTTGCTAAACTTATTCCATGAAAAAATAAACGTAATAGTACTGCGACTGAGTTTCTCTCTCAATGAATGCCACCAATACTGACCTTTTTTGTCCTACGTAATTCCATAAAAGGTGAGATTTCTTTGCTTCTCAAAAATGACTTTGTTAGGCACATAATTAAGTTTCTCGTTCGGTGTGAGCGCTACTGCCCCTTCTCGTGTTGTCACCTTCGAGGCGTACGCAAAATTACGACAAGTATTTTGAGGTGATTTTTTATCTTTTGTGTATTCTTTCATGTCTTCTAGTCATTAAGGCTGCAGTAAATGGATGTCGTGAAATTTTCTCTCAATTTCTTATTTCTTATCTGTTTTTTCGAAACGCAAAGGAACGCTCGGCACGAATTGCGCAGTTATTTGTTATACGCTATATTACCATGTCATTTCTCCGTTTTATGTTATGCTAAACCATTTAGGCACCATCTGCACCGGGGGAGGGCATTTTGTTGGGAGTTACGGAGAAGGACAAATTCCGGGAGCAAATGGAAATCACTTACGCACACCGGAGTACCCCTTCTCCTCCAAGGCTTAGTCCTCAAAGTTGCGTTGTTTGCGTAATCCT